TACCCAAGTTATTTCATTACATACCTCTCATTTGTATCAGTGACATAAGACTTCAGTTATGGTGAGCCACATCACTTTCCCTTGTCCTCGGCTTCAGGATTCCATACCGCTTCCCCCTCCCCCCCCCCCCATATGCTGGTTGTCAGGTCTCCTCTTCCACCCTAGGCTGCTTCAATTCTATATATACACTATGGTGCTACTGTAGTTTTGATGCTGTCAGTTCAAGTACCATAATAAAACAAACAGTAAGAATAAAGACCTCCCATCTGAATACCCCCACAAGGAGTCCAGTCCTGAGTCCTGTTGACTCAATTAGATGCTAAGAAAGAAAGGTAGTATGCAATTATGTATGTAACCTTTTCCTAATGTAAGGGAGGATATGTACTATCCAGAAAACACAGAATAAAATCGAACAGCATTCTAGACATTTGCCACTTTATTGGGATCAGAAGCACACAGTGGAAACTGCTCGGTAAGTTTCATGACTGCTTTCCATGGAGTTCTTCACTGAAATGTTACATACAATGTCACAAACTTCAAGTGCTTTTCTAGAGAGGTTTTGAAACACCATCACCAGAGGTAAAACCACTGGGAAAATAGCATTTTACAGCAAGGAAGAAAAAAATCTGCCAGAAAAAGAAAGATGACAGTCAAAACTAATGCCTAGTCTACCTACTTTTGTTAGCATAGCTACATTGGGGGTGGGGGGGAGGGAGTAAAGAGAGGAGGAGTCCCACATTTCAACCAACCTATGCTGGCAAAAAGCCTACTGTAGATGCAGATACACCAACAAAAAAGTCCTTTTGCTGTTATAGTTTATTTTGTTTGGGGGAACAAAAGAAATTGCAAATGTCTAAATGTTTATTTAAACATGTGATAATCACTCTTCTGTTCCTTTTCTATCCACCACCCAAATAAAACAACTTTTCCCCAATACAATCATCTATTTCTCTCTTGCCCCATCATCCCCCATTTTCTCTATTTCCCTCTCTGACACACATCAACCTCCCCCTGCTAAAAGATGTGCTCAAGTGCCAACTGCAGAGCATTAGTAGCTCTGCAGGTCTGGAAGTGTCTGCAGGAGGGTGGCCACTTTATTTAATTTCTCATGCTCTGGGGCAGAAACAATGCAATCTGGGGTATGATGACCTAGGGTAATGCCAGAGCCCATTTGACGTAAATACAGCTGGTAACTAGATTACAGCAAACCTGATAAGAACATGACATGAATTTTGGTAAGGGCAAGTAGACTTTTTGAGATGAATGAAAAAGGAGAAAAAGCAAGAACTATAAGAGTAAACAGCTGAAAATCAACTGGCTGTAATACAAGGAAAAAAGTAGATGTGTTTCCACAAAGCTCTATCATTAGGAGGCAAAAAGGGTTGTTAATCTATATACCCCAAGTGTCTCAGGACTGGGCCAACTCTCACATTCCGGAGACTCACTGGACAAGTTTTGCTTAGTCCAAGTCTCTCTCCTAATATTTATTTATTAATTTCTGCATTGTGCAAGAAAATGTAGTGCATATTTTACAGTTTCCTTCCCTCTGGCTGATAAATTTGCCACATTTTAGTCTCTCCTACTAGGAGACCTTGGATAAGGCAAGAAATCATGCTTGTTTTATGGTTTCTTTATCCATCTGTAGACTAAGGATTTTCATGCATATGTTACAGTATCTCTACCCCCTCTTTGGAGCTGGTGGGAATCATGTGTTTTACAGACCTTCAAGGGATAAGTGGATTTCCAATATGGAAATGGGAGAGATTTTGCTGTGTGTTACAGTTTCTCTGGGGATGTGTTGTGTGTGTGTGTCTCTCTCTCTCTCATTCTCTCTGGGGATATGGAGATGGGAGTTGTTGCTATGTGTATATTACAGTCTCTCAGGTTGAGTTGGTGGGAGTTTTGCTGTCTGTTACAGCCCCTCTTTCTATTGAGATGGGGGATATTGCTCTGTATGTTACAGTTGCTCTCTCTACAGGGACTGTTGCTATATGTATCTGTCAATAACCCAGAGGGCTGTTGCTCTGTGTGTTACAATCACTCTATAGCAGGGGTTCCAAAATTAGTTCACAGCTTGTTCAGGGTAAGCGCCTGGCGGGCCGCAAGACGCTGTTTACCTGAGCGTCCGCAGGTATGGCCGCTCGCAGCTCCCAGTGGCCGTGGTTCACCATTCCCGGCCAATGGGAGCTGCGGGAAGCCGCAAAGCAAGTTTGGGAACCCCTGCTCTACAGGAATATGGGGGCATTACTCTCTATCTGTTATATCTGTGTTAAAGCTACTCTTTCTGGGGATATCTGGAGGCCACTGCTCTGTGTGTGTGCTACAGTTGCAATCTTTCTCTCTGTGGCTACAGGAGGCCTTGCTGTGTGTGTGTTACAACCTCTCTCTATGGGGACAAGAGGGGACAATGCTCTGTGTCTGTGTTACAGCTGCTCTCATTCCATGGGGATAAAGGAGTTAGGTATTGCTCTAGAGCAGGGGTTCTCAAACTTCATTGCACCATGACCCCCTTCTGAAGACAAAAAATTCTACACAACCTGCAGGGGGTGGGGGGGAGTCCTGAAGCCTGAGCCCGCTGAGCCCCACCGTTCCAGGCAGGGGGGCCAAAGCCCAAGCCCCACCACCCCAGTTGCTGTGTGGGTTAGTGTCTCGGGAGATACAGAGATGGGGGGCAGGGCATTTGTTGCTGGGTGTATAATACAGTCTCTCTTTAGGGATATTGAGCAGTTGCTGAATGTGCGCTACAGTCTCTCAAGGGATGTAGAGATGGGGGGGTTATTATTGGGTGTATAATACAGTCTTTCGGGGGATACAGAGATGGCGGCATGTTGCTGGTTGTATAATACAGTTTCTTGGGAGGCAGATATGGAGATGAGGGAGGTGTTGCTGGGTGTGTTACGGTCTCTCGGGGGTGAGGAGATGGGGGGGTTGTTGCTGGGTGCATTACGGTCTCTGGGGGTGAGGAGATGGGGGATTGTTGCTGGGTAGCATTACGGTCT